CATCTAGCCAATTCAACTGTATATTGATGAGACTTCGTCACCAATCTAGTACAGCGCTTAAATACATAAGGTCTAGGTAGCATAGAGGAAAGTTGGTCAGAACGGTAAGGAAAGTGACTGAAGGCAAGTCAAGATCATTGAATATTCTTCTTTGGATTTTATCAAGAATTTCTGAATGAATAGCAAGAGCCGCAGACCAGATGGGATAGCAATATTCAGAGGAATCGGAGAGCCGAGTTCGAATTCCAGTCGAATCTATTACATTCACTTACGTGTTACTACCCTTGGGAAAGGTATGAATCCTCTTCTCCTCTGCACCCCCAGTTATGGGTAAATAGAAGGACAGACCAGGTTCTATAGTCTTGGATGGCAACTGGTCTACCGCAGGAAGAAATGGCAACCTACTGCGGTGAATAAAACCTGCCTCGTCAGACATGTATCGAAAGATACATAATCGCCGAAGCGTGTATCACGCATGGCACATAACTGACTGACCGACTTTCCAGTCGAATCTATTACATTCACTTACATGCTAATACCCTTGGGAAAAGTATGAATCCTCTTCTTCTCCCTACAGCTATGGATAAATAGCAGGACAGACTGGGTTCTATATACTTGGATGGCAACTAGTCTATCGCAGAAAGAAATGGCAACCTACTGCGGGGAAAAATCTTCCTCGTCAGCCATGTATCGAAACATACATGATCGCCTAAGCGTGTATCACGGGAGAGCAAGCCTGATTGGGGTCCCCAGGCAAGTGTTTTGCGACCCTCGTCATCTTATCAACATTTTCTATTCTTTTCTACCAACATTAATATACATTATAAATCAAACTATACACGACTATTAAAGGATAAAAAATTTTCGTTGTTTTTGACGTCATTTTGGGGTCTTTTTCTTTTTTCGACGGAATCCGTAATTTTTTGTTCATGCTAAATATCGAAAAAACATTATATCCATTACACCACCCGCACATCCAAGCTTAGAGCTCCTGATATTTCCAAGCGATCACTCATTTAAGTAATGACTAGTATCGACGTTGCTTAATTTCGGTGATTGTACGAGACCGTTTTTTTTTCTTTCAAAATGATATGGCCGTAAGCCACGGAAGTTGAGGATAAATCTCCCATGTTAACGATGTTCATTATCTTTTCTTGGGTTGGTTTTGTAAATGTGACTGAGAATGACACGTTTTCTATTTATCAAAGTAGGACCAAAATGTAACGTTTCCTTTACTCATTCAAGTTGCTGGCACATCTACAGTGATAGTCCTTCCATGCTCCAACAGCTCGTAATGGATGGCGATTTTCCTATTCCACCAAACGCAAAACAAAGGCATGTTGATAGAGTTCTGGCTTAGGTTTTGGAATTGATTTCTAGTTTTGTGATAACAGAAGGCTGGTATCCCTGGTTAAAAGACTGCTGGTATTCTTGATTAAAAAAAAAACTGCCGCAGATCGTGTTCTAGTGAAATTCTCCTTGCCAAGTTTTCCCATTTCATTTGAGCCGTTCGTGAGCAATTGTTCATGATTCATATCGGTGAAATAAGTAATTACTTTCCGAATGTATCTTTAATATGTAAGAAAAATATATATTTCTTTTTTAGACTGCCCCGAAAATTGGAAACCCTGCAATTCGGCTGATATCTGCGTTCCTTACTACAGGTTTTGTGACGGTGACGCTGACTGTCCTAATGGTGAAGATGAACTCAATTGCCGTATGTCTCTATATTTACGTTAACTTAGTAGCACACACACACACACACACACACACACACACACACTATATATATATATATATATATTTATATATATATATATATATGAGTTATCGAACATTGGATGCTGGTACCAATAAAATAGTTTTTGATGTATAATAACAGAGTTATAAATTATATTAATAATAAATGATAAAAATGTCGTTAGAATTTCAAAATTTTTAAATTTAAAAATGCTCATGATTATACTTCAGGCAAAATAAAAGTCAAGGTAAACTATGGAAGATGCAAAGTGATGTAATGTAATGCTTGATAAACCAGATTTAATAATTGTTATTCATATTGTTGATTTATTTTAATTTTTAAAGACTAACGACATTTTTACTTCTATATATAAATATTTGTCGCACAATAAAAACCTTACATTTACCTTAATGAATGCCATCAGAAGACGAAACGCGTCGGCTAAGATAAAGTTTTCTTTTGTCTTTATACATATTGCATTTTTACGTATATATTTTTAGTTATATCTGAATTTTTGCACACATTCACACACATTCTAACTCACACTCACATATTTATCATTCAAACGTTATTTTTAATGGATATCCATATTTGAGTCGCCGCTTTGTTTATTTGAAACAGTATATTTATTTTTGTCGATCGGCCTGAATATCCAATATTTTTTCTTTAATAAAGTTTCTCGTCTATCAGAGAACGAAACGCGTGGGCTTAGATAAGTTTTCGTTTTGTCTTAGTTTCGTTTAAAATAAATGGATCGTCTACTCAAATATGAGTATCCACTAAAATAAAGCTTAACGTGATAAACAACTGTAAGATTGTAAGAAAATCTAATCCTTCTTTAGAAACACACATGCACTCTTTCTCTCTCTCACCACACCACACACATATATATTAAACTGTGCAGGTTATATTTTATATCATAAACAATTTATACAAAGAATTAAATAGCAATGTTAATTTGATTACAGGCGAAATCACTTCTCTAACAGGAGTTAATGAGAAATAAACTTACTATCAATTACTTGAATAATAAGAATATTCTTGTTGTGTCAGATGGAAGACACATGACAAGTACCTTCGACAATTTCTAATTCGCCCTGAAGATGACAATTTGAAATTGTCGAAAGTACTTGGCATATGTCTTCCATCAGACAACAACTCGAATTTATTATGATCTTATTATTCAAGGAACTGATAATAAGTTAGTGTCTCATTTAGACCTGTTAGCGAAGTGATTTCGTCATTAATCACATTTACATTGCTCTTTAATTCTTTTTATAAATTGTTTCTTTATGATATATAATATGTGGTGGGTAGAGAGTGAGAGAGAAGTGATAGTATATGCAAAAGAGAGAGACAAGAAAAGCAAAATTGTGTGATTGAGACAAAAACAGATCAATTTTGGTATTTATCTGCATTTCTATTTCAGAGACAAATCGTACAATACGACTTGTTCGGGGAAAAAACGTGAACCAAGGTTTCGTGGAATACCGCATCAATGGAACCTGGAATGGAATATGTTACGAACAAGAATTTATTTCAGCATCAATTGCAAATGCAATTGTAGCGTGTCGACAATTAGGTTACAAGTAAGTGAAATGAAAGCCTGACATTATAAAGCCTATAATATCTCCTGAGACGTTAAAACTGGCAAAAAGTATCTAAGTCTCTAATATTTTCTATATAATATCCATCCACCTTCCTTGCGCATAATGACCGTTGATGCCAACTACATTGTGGATAAAGAAACGATTATCAAAAGTTTGGAAAATCTATCTATTGTAAACACAGTATTTGCACGCGATAATGAACTGTTGAAAAAGACAAGATGGTGGACAAAGGGAAGACGATGCGACAATCTGACCCAATGCCTCAGCCCTGCATGGTCCAGTATGTCTAGAGATAGGAAGTAGTGGAGGGATTCCTTCAACAGGAGTAAGAAAGCCACGGATTTGAATATGCATTTATGAAGGTATATGCATTTAAAACACTGTATTGTTTTAGAAAGCACTATGCAGTGAATAAAATACGAATAAAATGCATATAACTGTAGCTAACAGCGTTAACATTACATAATTGAGAGGATTATCAGTATTGGAGTTCATGAATAATTTGTTTTTGTTTTCTGATTCGGTAGGGGTACTGCCCGGGATTCATTTCGAACGGCCGCCCCGCGATACATTATCAGCAGTATCAAAGGACTCAGTTGCAATGGAAAAGAAACTTTGATTTCCCAATGCTCGATGGAATACTGCCAACAATGTTACTGCCAACATTACTTCAGTGTTGATTGTTCCAACAATCGTAAGTAATAAATATTGATTACTCTCCGGTCAGTTAAAAAGTAAATAGAATGCCGTTCTTTTTTTAATTATAACAGATTTAATAATAGAAGCATACAAAACAAATACTTATACAAAACAAATACTTAATACAAAACAAATACTTAAATGAACAGACAAGTTTCAGGATTCCAAATCTAGTCATTAACATAATATTCTTTCTTTTCAGTAGTGGTATTGAGAAGGAAATTTGAATAATGGCATGTGTACACGCCTCGTAGAAATTTCTAGATTGCTTTATTAGTCATGACTATACTGTTTAAGAAGGTGCTATCTATGTTTTCCCGTCCCAGAAAATCACAGGCAGCAACTACATTTTGTTTGTTCTTGAAGTCTTTTTAGCATTCTGGAAATCTATGACTGCTTTTTATGAGTCTCAAGAAGGGTAGTAACTTTGAAAAACGATTATTGTATGTAAAACAGAAGTTAACTTCATAGCTGCTTCCCATGAGTTTCTTGACAATTTAAACGCTTGTAATTCTGATTAATATTAGAACCAGAATTATGGCTAGACTGATCCTCGTAGTTCAATGTAGAATTTACCTATAAGAATACCGTATTTTTATGCATTTAATGTTGTCTTTGATCAAAAGAACCAAGAATTGGGAGGCCCCTAGGGGGAGAGAGTACCGAAGGAACAGAAGACCATATAGGGAAAACATAAAAGACGAGATTTATTAAATACGCATATATAGAACGGGAAAAAACTGGAGTAAATCAAATACTCCTCAAATCCTACTCTAATAGAGCGACTTGCCATTATTTATAAATAGAAGCAGTCCATTGTCACAGTAGTAGGCTAAAGCAGGAAATATTCTACAACAAAGTGGCACACTTTTTACCCAAATGTAATGTCAGCTTGCGTCCTGTTATGAATTATATATATATTGTATATGTAATATACACTAGCCACGTGTAAATATATTTAAATAGGCATGCAGAGATTACTTCATTTGGATAGATGTCCAATGCACTTGACCAATCAGAGCGCTTAATACAATCAGCGAAAGTAATCGCCTACTCGGTATTTGAATTTTCATTGCTTACTTAGCAGTCGGATGTTTTGAGGTCTTTTGTGTTTAGAACGATATATACTAGTATTAAAATATAGGATTGAATTTTTATTCAAGGAAAATTTTTCAAATATGACTGGAGTTTTTTTTTTTTTTGTCAAACTTTGTTTTCAAATTAAGGTCGTGTTTTATATTCCGAAATATGAGAGCAGTAGTTGAGCTAGAAGCTGTCAATAACTTTAATAATTAAGACAATAAGCAGTTCCGTTGGAAGACCACGTAACCACTAAGAAGAGGAAGTTAAAATCGTATGGGCACATCAAAAGAGCCGGCAACCTCTCCACTACAAACCTACATTGTACCACCTTAAGCAAAAGGTTGTCAGAAGAAAAAATGAGATGACGACGTCCGCTGGAAGATCATTCAAAGAGATACGAAGGAAACTAGCCAGGTGCTCAGCTACTCACTGGTCCTACGGCCACACTCGGTCATATTAGCAATGATGCTGATGATTTTGTTCAGTATTTTGTATGATCACATGATTTAGTTCTAGGTACACGCAATTATAAAACCACTGAGTTATTTGATAAGTGAATTATTCTTTGCTTTGAACTCTAGACTGTATACAACGCTGAGAACCGGTTTTGTGATTGAAATTTTTTGTACTCAACTCCTAATAAATTTGATCAAATACGTAAAAGCCTATTCATGTATTGTACTATTTCGAATTTATTAAAGGCTACAGTGAACAACAAAGGATCTTTTGTTATTTAAGTTGAACTTTATTTATATTCATACTTTCAGATTGTTTGTCAGATCAGGTTCCATGTCCGGGAGAGAATGGAAAACCATACACCAATTCATCAGCGTGTATATGGAAACACAATCTATGTGACGGTGAATATGATTGCCCGGGAGGAACGGATGAACAAAATTGCAGTATGTTTAAATTTTTAATCGTTTCACGCAAAGTAAGAAAGAACAGTAAGATGTATAATCCGGTGTTCTTATAGATATTTTTATTTTTACAAAATAGTGCTCAATGTAAATTTACAGAGCATAAATATTATAAATTAATTGATTTAAAATATGGTTTTTTTCGCTACAGAGTTCTAACCATGTTTCAAAAAGGAAACATAGTTAGAACTGTGTAGCGAAAAAACATATTTAAAATCAATTAATTTATAATATACACACACACACACACACACACACACACACACACACATATATATATATATATATATATATATATATATATATATATATATGATAACTGTGACTCGATTTCGAGTAATACCATCACTTGATTAATCGTCAAGTATGAGCAGAGTGGATATAGCTTTTCAGTACTGCTAGGGTCTTACATTCTCTTACGCATATGTGTTAACGTTGGACGTTTTTGCAGATGTTACGGTAATATTTTGGTGAACATTCATATGATGTTTTCGTCCACTGAGGCACTTTTCCGCACTCGCTGTTAATAAAAATGCCTTATAACTTTTAGTGAATGAAGCTCGTGTGCACCTGTTTGTGAGTCTATTTGATTTTTGATAAATCTTAGGCCTGCCCTACTTAAACACGACTACATTTATTAAACATTAGATCAGATTCTCTGGGGACATTCAAGGGAGCTTAACATCAAGTCTCTTACAAATATTTCTCTTCAGTTTTTCATGGCGAACGTTCACTGTGTGGCATGTTTGCTGATTTTTGAGGCCTCGCCTACTTAGACGTGACCATATTCATTACACTTTAGATCAAATTCTATGGCAACATTCTCAAGGAAATTAACATTTTGAGAAATATCCCTCTTGAGTTTTTCATGCTTAGCATGATTCTGTTCAAATCCCTTTTACATTGATTTCTTCCAGAATAGGGATTTTCTCAGCATAGTTTAGATGTGGTAAAACCCGAAAGTTTGTGACACCCAATGTGGATGGAACTCATTACTCAGTCGTATTTTTTTTAGTATGACAAGCTTGCTAACCATTACACCTCAAAGTGGCCGCTTTCCTCCTGGATGAATGATGTAAAACTATGTTTTCCTAATCATTTAGCGCGATGTCTTCTATTTGCAGTGTGTTCTTGTTGCGGTCTTTAAATCTCAATAACAATTTGTGCTGTTTTTTTTCCTCTAGCTAATCCACCTTATAGATCCCATCGTCCTTCATCCTGAACTTATCGCCACTCAGTCGTAACCGGTGAAGGTTCCAGAATGCGAAGGCCAGGGTTAGAATGCTTAGCGATTGGTAAGAACACCTCGTGGGCGTGGTATTCTAACAGTGATGAATTGCCTTTGTCTGGGTTTTTTATACAAGTTCAAAATGGCGCAAATTCAACAGAGGTTCGGAATAATTTTGACTCGTCGATACGCTTCACACGCCCAGGTTCGAGAGACAAATTAAGAGCACACTCGGAGGGACAAGAAGTCCAACGAGTGGCATGCATTCATTTCATGTAATTCCTCCCGCTGCCTCTTAGAATCCAAACTGTCGCGTCTATCCCTCTCCGCTAATAAAAACGAGTAAGAAAAATAAATACCATTTATCCTGTAGCGTTGGGATCCAGTGACGACACGGAACACAACATGATGAAGCACCAGTGCTCTCTATACTGGTAGAGTGACTGCGTTCCAGAATATTAATGTCACTCAAATACATTAGTCGCTCTATATACAGTAGAGACACTAATGGTGAAATCTCTCCTGCTTATTCACGTGTCTCCGGTAAGTGAACTAGCAATCACATGCATGCAACAAAGGCAAAACATAAGTATTATAAACTTTCAACTTCGTCTCAATCGAAATTCCATTCTATAGACATCCATTACGTTTTCCAAATGTATTGTCGGCCTTGTTGATGTGGAGGCATATTTCATCATCAAGAGTATTTGTCATACAACCTTTTCCACAAGTTGCAATTTCTGGCCATAAATGTAAAAGCCTGACAAAGAGTAGGTTTTATATGAAGCAGGTTGGTACATCACGGCAGTTTTCAGGTTAATTGTTCGACCTAATGCATTAAAAGTCATCGAAAAAGAATCTGTTAATTTAAATTTTAAATTTCTAGTATTCAATGAGTCCAGACGTACAGCTTAGCCGAATCCATTCAGCTTACTAACAATCTTGCTTTAGTTTTTATCGCTGTTTATTTTAAACATTCTACGTTATATTGGGATGCTAAATTAAGTCGTCCGAACTGTACATCTAGACACAATGGACGCAAGAAAATGTAAAGTTTAGCTTCCCTCCATATTCAGCGTCCCCCTCTGTGTATGATTACAAACGACATTTTCTTTATATTTTCACCCTCCCCTCCCACATATATCACATATTCAGTTTGTGCTTTCGTTCATTAATTAACATATGGATAAATTTCCGGTAAACAATATACCATTCCTGTTTGCGAGGATAAAAGGAAGGAAGTTATATCAAAATTACGGGTTAATTTTAGGCAAAGAAAGCCAGAAAGAGAGAAGGAAAGAACGAAAGAGAAAGAAAGACAGAAAGAAAGAAAGAAAAAAGAAGCTGTGATAAATCTTACATGTGTTTGACGTCTGCTTCACTGAAATGAAAAAATTGTTAATTTCGAATCTTTTCATTTGTACCCTCTTACTTCTTTAAATAATGACCTGCATTCCAGTGTATGGTTGTTATTGTAATATTTTTGTTAAAGTTGTTAAGCTCAAATATTTATCGATACAAAAGGGGAATTACCATGGGAATTACCATGGGAATTTTATAGTTGCGAAACTCGCAAAAAATTATTTAATCATTAACTTAAGAATTAGGATTCTTCAAAAAATTAAAATCGGAAAAGCGTTAAATTTTCACGGGTATTTCTTGTGTATATAATTTCATTAATAAGGACATTATTTTAGTAAGGGTGTCCTTTTTTTTAAGAAAGAAACGCGATAGATAGAATATTTTTCATTTTGTCATTAAAAACGATTTTTAAAAAGAGCCTTCCTTTTTATCAACAGAAGACTGTAATACAAGTGAATTCAGATGCCGGAATAAAGAGTGCATTCCACTAATGCAAAGATGCAATGGTGTTCCGGACTGCCAAGACTCTTCAGACGAACATGAGTGTTGTGAGTTTCCTTCTATCTTTGTTTTGTATTTTTTCAATCAATAAAATGATATCCTTGTGTACCAGATACAAGTGCCGGCACGTTTAAATTCTTTCAATACAAGGCAAAGGTGCTTATTTAACAGAGCACACTTATTAATTCTCAAATAATTTTCATCTTAGTACGACTATTTTGTTCAATGTTTATTAAAATATCTCTGCATCCATATCTATGGAGCCCTGTCTATCCCATTGTGTTGGATGGTTGTTGACCCTACAACAAGCTTCATCTGCCTTTTAAAATGCTTTGTTTTAATCATGCTTGGTGTGTAGCTACGTTCCACACCGGAAAAGCCCGGAGGGGGAACCGGTTTAGTTGTCAAGAAAATAACCCACCCACGAGGCTGGTAGTACTGGGTTACATGTTACTAGTAATAGTTATAAAGGAATGTTACAATTCATCAAAACTGGATGACTAACACTGGCTCTTACCCAGATCATTTCTGAGAAAAATCCAGAATAACGAAACACACACACACACACACACACACACACACACATATATATATATATATATATATATATAGGTGTCCCTCCCAAATTGATATCATTTTGTAGTCTAATAACTATTCTCAATCAAATGATGTCAAATTTTAAGAAAATGTATAAAAATTAAGTTGACTGCGCAGACTTATCTCAATGAGAATCTACCAGGAAGATGTATTGGGCGTGCCAGTGATAATATCAATGTGCTGTTGAAATGGCCACCACATTCACCTGACTTGACACCTTGCGATTTTCTTCTATGGAGCTATGTCAAAGGACAGGTTTCTTCCTACAAGCCTGGAGGAATTTAGGCAGAGAATCACTGAGGCGCAGGAGAATGCTACGCAAGACATGCTACAGCGTGATTGGTAGGAGCTGGTCTACTGACTTGACGTGTGTCATATCACAGGTGGTGCACATATTGAACATTTGTGAAGCTTTGTGAAATCGCTTATAAAATCTACATCCCTTTGTATATCTTGTTCGAAATTTCATAACTAAATCATTTATTGTTCAACACGAAGCCTATTTAACTTCGTTTGCCTGGACATGTAGTTACTCAGATATTAACATTTTAAATTACGTCAGTCTTTGAGGACACCGTATATATGAACTGACACTGTGCTTATTTTGTATGGCATACTTATTTTTCAAATAATTATTTTGTTACACGCTTATTAAACTTGCATAGAAACTCGGAACGTTTATTTGAACCATAGAGCTTATTTTAAAAGTTGAAAATCTTCTCGGGTATGACAATTCCAGGTGGCACTTGTCTTTGATACAAAAGTTACTTGCTACGGAGCATGCTTTTAGCGTATAACAGTTGTTATACACTAAAACATACTCTGTGAATCTGTTATTAAGCAAAGAAATTTAGGTGAACAGGGTTCTCACCGTCAAAAATAAAAATTCCTACCGGCATGACTATTCCAGACGTTATTTGTCTTCGGCACACACACACAAAAGAAAATATGTGATGATCAATATTAGACTTCACTCCAACATGTGTTAATGTGTGAGCTATAACAATATATAATGCATATTAAAAATATATACATATAATGCATATTAAGAATGCGGATAAATTTAATTGTGAAATATATTTCTTAATTTCAATAGTTCAATATTCGTAACATTTTATTCGACGTTTAAAGGTGACTAGTAAAGACAATAAGTGGGAGCGAAGCTCACTGAGCTTATCTGTTAGTTCTCATCCAGAGCTGTTTACTCACTGCCGTAGATAGACGGCCTAAGTAACAGTCGAGATATAAAAGAATGAAAATAAAAGTAAATACTAGTCAAAGATTAATAAAAATGGTTGACAATCCTTCATTTCATTAAAAAAAATGGAGATAAAAGCAAATACGAAATTGAACGTAAATACTAGTCAAAAATTATTAATAATGCTTGACGATGCTTTATCTAATAAAAATGAATATGAAAGAAAATACTAGGCAAAAATTAATAATGTATTACAATGCTTCTTCTAATAAAAATGAAGATGAAAGTAAATAATACTCAAAATTTAATAAAAATGGTTGGCAATTCTTAATCAAATAAAAATATATATGAAAGAAAATACTAGGCAAAAATTAGTAATAATGGTGGACAATGCTTCAACTAAAATAACTTCAGATGGAAGTAAAAACTAGTAAAAAATTAATAATAATTTACAATCCTCCATCTAATAAAAATGAAGATGAAAGTAAATACTAGTCAAAAACTAGCAATAATGTCTGTCAATATTTCAGCTAATAGAAAATGAAAGCAAATAACAAAAATGAATAATAATAGTTGACAATACTGATAAAAAATATCAATGAAATGTTAATGATTTTATTCCATACATTCTCATAATAAATAGGAAAATATTTTAAACAGATTTGTAATCGGAAGCTTTCAGTGTGAACATGCAAGTTTCAATCTGAGTAGAGTTTCAGACCAGAGATTTATTTGTTTTCTATCAAAATAATATAACAGAAATATTTATTTCATCATTACAATTCAAAAGATATTTATCATAATTTATAACATTATCGACATACATAGAAATCAAAAACAAGAGTTCAATATGACCTCCGTAAAACTTCACCGTTTCTCATTAACTGTTCAGCTCTAAATAATGTTTTATTGCATAATTTGAAATAATTTTTTTTAATATGTTGCTTTCCTGTATTCTACTTATATTGTATTGCTTTGTAGTTAAACAAAATATAACTGGTGTGTTGTTGATGCAAAACGGCAAGTATGAAGCTTTATGTGAAAATAATATCAATAACCAGCAAATAGCCAATGTTCTCTGTAAAGCACTAGGCAGAGGGTAAGCATATTTATTATTTTTAAATTTTAAATTACCTAATATATAAAGCTGAAAGTTTGTGTGTGTGTGTCCGCCAGAGAACCTGAAAAATATTGATATATTATTGTAATTATGACTTAGCAGAATGGCCATAATAAACAAATACAAATCAATTTTTTCTTTCTGAGATGGACTGCTCTCTCTCTCTCTCTCTCTCTCTCTCTCTCTCTCTCAAATCTATCCACCCGAATAACTTTGAAACACTCTGGGACCAGTTCACGTCGCTTCTGTCGTCAGTAGAAATAGTTTCGCCGGTGACGCTAAGCGAGGAGCCTTAGATATGAATTTTTGCCCAGTAACTGAAGGGAGAGACGAATTGTATTCCATTTTTTCCCAGGGAGAGTAATTTGAAGTGAAATGAATTCAGTAGACTTGGTTGGAATTTAAGCTCGTCCACTTGATATTAAATTTATTTTTAAATGATATGACAGCTTCGGGGATTTAGCTTTATAAAATTGTAATAATTAGGATTATCCAAAACTAACTAGTAAAGATTTGCTGCAAGATAAGTAAAAGGGGTGTATAACTGACCTGCAATGCGAGATAAGCATATAATATATTATGCATCTTGATTCCTTGGGGAACATAAGGCCGCCCAGGTCCCTATCCTGGTTGTTGACTTAGTCGTCAGAAAACGTTGTCGGCGCACTGTCTTCCCGGGGAATTTCAACAGCAAGCATCATACGCTCCACTTTGGAGGACTTTTTCTCGGCCATGTCGTTGTTTGAAGATATGGTTGCGGTTTCTGTAATAAGCAAGTTTTTAAGTGGGTAGATTGTTAGCCTACTGCACAACCTCCAACCTGGATGATCAGGGTGTCTTTCGTCTGGCTCATACCTCACAGACCTGTTGAGCTTGGTTGGACATACTGAGAACCAAAGCCCCCGCCCACATAGCTCTGTGGGTCGTTGAAGTACGCAAGCCGTCCTAACATGTCAAGGCGACACACTATCAGGACAGGTGAGATAAGTAATAGGCGTGTATAACTGATCCGAAATGCGAGATCAGTAATGGACGTGTATAACTGACTCGAAAAATATACTTCTAAAAAACTTTAAAATATGAAAAGATTTAATATAAAGTTCATTTGTTAATGAATAAATTCTGAAAATTTCAATGACATCCGACAAGTCCCTGATTTCTGGTAACTAAAAAAAACAAGGGGTTTTGTTTCATTTTTTACCACATGTTGAAAGTGTACATAATTTTGATTGATTGATTCGTTTTTACGGCTTATCAACCCTTTGCAGGTTATTTAAAGCCAGAAAATACTCTTAGATTGTAAGAATTAGTTCTTGAGATAATAATAGTTTTGGAGATAATAACAGTTTAGTCTTACTAATTAACTCATAGCTGGAGGAAGAAGAAGTGGATTTATACCTTTCTTAAATGTATCTGCATGTAAGTGGATATAACGAATCCAACAGGAATTGGAACTCGGCTCTCCGATTTTCAATTCCGAACTTTTATCCATTATATCACCCACACATCCAAGTTTACAGCACCTGGGGGTCACCTATCTAGATACTAACCAGACTCGACGTTGCTTAACTTCGGTGTTTAACGTGATGTGGCCATAGGCCGTCAAATCAATCAATCATTCATTGAAACTACTATTGTTGACCCGTATTAATATATAAACGTGTAATACTGGACATAAAAATGGGGATCGATTTTCTATAGTTATTTAGTAATAAACTGATCCTTCCTTCAATTTCTACATTTTAATATAATAATTGGGAAAATATTTTTAAAAACTCAGACCTAAAAATACTTAACTTAACAATTCCGAACCATTATCTATTACACCACCCGCACATCCCAGCCTAGATGATTTTGGAAGCACCTAGAGTACATCATCTAGTAAACGTGTTTTTTCGGTACGCAGATCTAATAAAGTTATACCTTTGCCTCTGTGCCATACGATCTGAGAACGAGATAGCACCATTGCTCTCCTTTTCAAAGGGAAACGTGTGTGCCGACACATCCAGTTCTGCAATCGCGGAACAGCTTTTTAAAAATCAAGGATGTGTACAAAAAAAAAAAAAAATTGGTAGGATAGATTCTTATCCCGTTTGAGAGAGGTGGTAAAGGATATGGCGTCGGGAGGCGAATCCCAGCAGAAAATGGATTAGACCAACAACCTGTCAATGATTCTGCTAACACATCGTAATCAAGGGCTCGAGTGTACAGATTATGCACTCTCTTACATAAACTGTAACTAAGATCCGCCCAGTATAGTTCTCTTGATATATTCTTCAATATACCTGTATTCTCATTTATATATATATATATATATATTCTCATTATATATATATACCTATATTCTCATTATATATATATATATATATATATATATACCTATATTCTCATTATATATATATATACCTATATTCTCATTATATATATATATATATATATATATATACCTATATTCTCATTATATATATATATATACCTATATTCTCATTATATATATATATATACCTATATTCTCATTATATATATATATATACCTATATTCTCATTATATATATATATATATACCTATATTCTCATTATATATATATATACCTATATTCTCATTATATATATATATACCTATATTCTCATTATATATATATATATATACCTATATTCTCATTATATATATATATATACCTATATTCTCATTATATATATATATATATATATATACCTATATTCTCATTATATATATATATATATATATTATATATTCTCATTATATATATATATATATATATATATATATATATATATATTCTCATTATATATATATATATATATATATATATATATATATTATTCTCATTATATATATATATATATATATACCTATATTCTCATTATATATATATATACCTATATTCTCATTATATATATATATATATAACAAGTGGAAAACGTGTTACATCCTCTGATGGACTTTATAAAGTAAGGATTTACTTTGCAATAAGTATTTACAAACCGAAGAATAACAATGTTGTTATTTTTTTAATTTTTAAAATTGAAGAACTTTACGCTGACTGAAAGTCGAGGTAAGCTATGGAAGATGCTAAGTGATGTATTTTTAGTGAGTAAATATTGTTAAATCTTTATATTTTTACAATGTAATTATTATTTAGTATTAAGTTTGAGATTAATTTAATTCACGATACATAAGGTTTAAAAATATTTTTTCTTGATGCTTTCATTTTGACTTTAATCAAAAGCTAAAGGGCTAAATTTCTATTTCCAGTAAGCAAAATACTCTGTTGTATTTCAAACAGAAATTATATTGACTGGAATCGATTTTTTTCTTGAATAGCCGTTTAACGCCCTTTTTAGTCGTCTTTCATTGCAATTCTCTGTATTAAAAAATTTTCCAAAAATAAATATACTTTTCTGAAACTTTATTTGAAGAATATTAGTTGATTTAAAGTATAATTAATCTACTTTTTAAAAATATTATTTACTTTAAGTTTAAAATAACACAGAAATGCATTTTAAAAACAAAACAGTAGCTGTGTTTTTAACCGACATCGCCATGTTTTACGTAATTGACGATAGGATGACAGGTCATGACATAATGATTGTTGTTCTACGGAGACTTTATCTGTAAAACATAATTTAAGAAAATGACATGAGCGCCTTTTTTATATATAATTTTCAAATACTCAGTAAACATTAAAATGATGGAAAATATTCTCCGTAATCTAATTTTAGAAATGTTGATTTTAAATTTACTATAGTTGTCGCTCTTGGTAATGTCGTGTGTGGTCGACTATACTTTAAAAATGGGCACGTTACATAATAATTTATATACATAAAAAAATACAAATTATTTTAGAAAACTTGGTAAAAAATGATTTGCATTATGATTTTCAATTTTTGATTAGTAAATATAGTTTTCACTTAATAACAATATCCCCTAACGAGATTAAACTAATGTAGAATTTTAAGATTTAAAAAAAATTATTATAATTAAAATTTAAAATAAATGCAAGCAATAAACAAAAACATAAGAAAAAGTGACTAACCGGTTTCCAATGCTTATAGTTATATACAATTTCAATATCATTGGTTCTGACATGGCGTCACTACCCTATCGTCTTAAAATTGTTTCCCTGTGTCTTTTTTACAAATGCTTTCATAGTAATTGTTCGGATGATCTCTTCGCTATGGTTTTATTTCATTTTAACAGATATATATTAACCAAAATTGCACAAACCTGTCTTGAATTACTAAAGAGTAAATTGATTCAATAAAATTGCCATTGACTTCAACCACAGCCTCCAGGAGATTTCGGGATCTCCTTCAACTCTTCTGGACTGTCTCCTTGTGTAAGTTGGTGAATGCGGCCATAATCATTGCCTTCTGTTCATCTTTGGTATTACAAGGAGTTTTGTTGGTTTCTTGCTCAACTTCGCCCCATGCATAAGAATCAAGGGAGTTGCAGTCTGGGGAGTTATATGGCCAGGTGTAAGCGGTTATGTGGTCGAAGTAATTGACTGACAGCCATGACTGGGTTCTTCCGGCAGTCACCCTTTTGATTCAAGGCAGCACTGTCTCCTACGTGTTGAGTCTGAGGCTCTCACCAACAAATCCAGGAGTTCTTTTCTTATCGGAACGATCAGAATGAGTTTTCCGAGCTGCCGTACCTTCGTAATCACCATTAAACTCATCCAACCCTTTCCGAATCCTCTGGATTTTCCTTAGATTTAAACCCAAACATTCCGAAATGTTCCTATTGGAGGTTCCGGCGCGAATGCCAAGCAGTACAGCATACCGTTTCCGAATTTCTGACGGAGTGAATTGCGAGATAGTGCTCTTTTTCTCACAGACAGTGCCCAACTGACCCGGCTATACTGTGCAGTTGATAAAATCAAAAACAATTAAAGCTCATGTGCGAAACTAAAAATATAAAATTGTGACAATTTACCAATCGCATTACACATATATATATATATTCTCATGTAGTATTAAGCTGTACAGAGAAGAGAAGATGCAATTTGAAATTTCCTTATTTTGCAGTGGCATTTTTCTTTTAATATTCTGTTTAGTTTTTTTCTTCTTTCTAGAAATGGTACAGTTCTTCCTTCTTCCCAAACTGGACCAGGGATTCAATTTAATGTCTCTTCAAACAGTACAGTAGGAATCCTAACGGGATTTCATCCAAATGCCGTTCCGTAAGTAAATTAATACACTTTTCTCTGACGTTAGTTGCCTCTAAAGTCTACTTCAACTTTGTATTTTCAACGTTTTCAGAATTTATTTACCATTTATCTTGTTATTTTGTATTCTTCAATGGGAGTACATAGTTTCGCTTATCGTCCGGTTCACGCTCCTCCCCGCTTTTAGGAACAGGAGTAGTGGTTTATACCTTATTTTCTGTTTAGTATTGGGGGTTTCGGTTTCTTCTCATTCTCTTTCGTTTAGCGGTTTTATCTCTCTCTCTCTCGCTCTCTATCTATCTTTATATATATATATATATATATATATGTGTGTGTGTGTGTGTGTGTGCATATATATATATATATATACAAACTTATATATATATATATATGTGTGTGTGTTTGTGTATATGTGTGTATAATTTTCACTTTCTTACCACCGTAATATAACTTCCCTTTGCCTTTCCTATGAATATTTTCATGATATCTATGGTACCTAGACTTTATGAATTTAAGTGCAGTATTAGATTGGTAGCTCGGTCTCATAATTTTAAAGATGTAATGGATAAATGTAACCTTACGTTTATATGCTAATAGTTTCTTCTCTCGCACTTCTAACTTATCAGACTTTTTCACGTTCTTGCTTTCCAGCCAACTTTGATGTTCAAAGATTTAAATCCAATGTCGATCGTTATCTTCTGTCTACTTAATTCCTGTTCTTTTATTGTTCTCTCCGCTTAAGAGGTATTTCCTATTTTATTTTTCTCGTGTTCTCACATTCAGTACCCCTCTCTCTTGCGTCTTGGCGGTTTCATTGCCTTGCTTCGGGTGAAATGATTTTAAAAAGAAAATATATTATATATATATATATATATATATATATATATATATATATCTATGTGTGTGTGTGTGTGTGGAAATTAATTAAATAATTAAGAAAGAGACAACCTTTAGGTTCTATGACTATAATTTATTTCCACAGAAAATATATTTACCTGGTTCATCAGATCACATCTCTAGTTACAAAAAGAATTAGAGATAGTTTTTAGATTGATATAAGGTGACAGAATATATATATATATATATATAAAAATGTGTGCGACAGAATATATATATATATATATATATATATATATATATATATAAATGTGTGCGACAGAATATATATATATATATATATATATATATATATATATATATATATTTAATGCGTAAAAATTCAGATATAAATAAAAAATATATCTGTAAAAAGACAGTATGAATAAACACAAAAGGGAATTTTTTTTTACTGACGCGTATTGTCTGCTAAGGGATTTTATAAAGACATACAATATCTGAAACTATAAAACAGATAATGACATTAATAATGACAAAATTTTGCAAATTTAAGAACGCTCTAAAATATCTTTAAGGTTAACTGGATAAGTAAAAATAAACTACGGAGTATGCTAAATGATGTAATTTGATGCCTAATGAAAGAAAGTGAGTTGTTAAGTTTTATTTTCTCACCACTGCAGCAGAATAAAATCTGGAATCATTAATGAATTTTATTTAATATCACTAAGCGTTTACAGACCTCAGTATTTACCTGAAGAAGAAATCTCTATAGAAATCATACAATATCCTCATTATTTCATTCAGAACGCTAAGAGAAAGTCATGCTAAATATACAACAAAAAGGGTAATGATATTAATAACAACAATAATCATAAACTAGATAAAGAAAAAGTATATAATATTACCTATGAACTCTCATATCCACTATTCAAAACAAGTTATTCACTTTTAACAATGTCAGATTATTACGGATATGACCAGAAACAAAAATGTTTATAGCAATAATATTTCTGAAGCTGGTTTCTATAAAAATAAACTGTCACAACTGTCCTTTGCAATATATTGAGGAAAAAAAAAAGGACTTCCTGTATAACAGTTTAACAAAAGCATTAGTTATGCATAGAAATAGGTTCGACCACAACTTTGATCTCAAGAAAAATACACTCATTAAAAAAGAATATAACATACTTGGATGGAAAGTTCTTAAGAGTGCAGCAATCAATTCTTCCCAAAACGTTAACTTTCACAATTGTTTTTTACTGGCGAAATTTGCAAAAATTTGAAAAACAAAAGGTATTTATGAACACAAAAAGATTTCATGCGTAATAATTTATTATTTAATTAATTAGTTTTACAGAATAATGGGTTCTAAATTATATTCGGACTCAAGAAAGGCACACTTATTAAAAGAGTAAATAATTTAGATGGAATGTTCTTGAGAGTGTAGCTATCAATTCTCCCCAAAATGTTAAATGATTGCTTTCAAATATTTCCTTTCTTAAACGATATATTTCCCGTCCTGGTTACGACGATAAACTACATCCGCGTCCTGGGTAAGACGATAAACTACGTCCAATAGCAAGGCCTCTGATCAGGAGGTTTTGAGGAGCGTGGAACCACCTCTTAATTGCTGGTGTTTCCAGGGCCACCGTGAGCGGGGTGGTAGCACCTGTTAGGGTCCCAGTTATGGGAAAATAGTTAACCCCCAAACTGGGGTCAAAACACTATGAAAATGTAAAAATAGGTTTTAATACTAGAAATACTTTGTAAAAAATTGTTACCAGCAATACATTTTTGAAAAAAATATTAGCAGTTATACATATTTGAAGAAAAAATATTATCAGAAATAGATTTTTTGTAGAAAAAAAAAACTTACCAAAAATAGATTTTTTGACAGAAAGAATATTACCAGAAATAGATATTTAAAAAATTTATTTTACCAACAATCAAAATTTTGTCGGCATTAAATAACCCATTGAGGCTGATATGCCGTAAAACAAAACGAACGAAATCCCAATCCAACATACGTGATCATAAAAATCAAAGAAAAATGTTAACTTAAGACCTCATATTATTTTAAATAAATACATATATAAATATTTAATCAAATTAAAATAAAATAAAATAATAAATACATAATAAATAAAAATAAAAAAATAAAATAAAATTCAACAACGGTAACATTTACTCGCTTTCTTTTACTAGGCATTTAATTACATCACTTAGCATCCTCCATAGTTTACCTTTATTTGCACACTTAACGTTAAGAATAGTTTAAACTGTTCTTAAATTAAAATTTTTTTAAAACTTCACGATATTTTTAATATTATTCATTATAATGTTTTTAATCCGTACCTGACATTTACCTGAAACTCAAGAAGAGGTGAGGAACAAAATGTATATTTATTAATATAACTTTTAACTCTGTTCATTTACACTGAACACTGTTTTATTACCACCCACACTCAATTTGCATTATATATATATATATATATTGTCATTCACAGACAGACTGTTTCGCTATATCACAGCCCATCAGTGTGGCTAGACGTCCGGTAGTTACTAGCTTGGATCAAAACCCGGCTAATTGGCGTCAGTCGGATATTCTACCCCTAAGCCGTTCGTGCACGGCAGGGATGAAGGCGAATTTAAGTGTATTTATTTAAACACAAAGTGACTAAGAGAACTCTATTCGCTTTACCGAAGAGTCTTGCATTATTAGCAGTAATAGTCACTGTTTACAAACTCACACTTCCTCACCAGAGAGCGCAACCGAAATATATATATTGTCATCCACAAACAGATTTTGTTAAAGAAGTAATTTATACAAAGAATTAATTACCAATGTTAATGTGATTAATGACGAAATCACTTCGCTAACAAGAGTTAATGAGACATTAACTTACTATAAATTTCTTGAATGATACGATCCTTATATTCGAGTTGTGGCCAGATGGAACTGACAAGCCAAGTACTTTCAACAATTTAAAATTGTCATCTTCGGGGCGCAGTTTTTCCGTGTACAGGCAAAACACTAAGATAAAATTTGCTACTCTCCGGCGTTCTGGGGAATACAGCAATTTAAGTTTATTTCAGATAACCGTGTATCGTTTAAGTGATGGCAAGTGTAAAACATTTACACAGAACACTATATACGTATGTTTGAGTTATAGTTCATATTTAGGGAGTAGGAATTGATTTAAACAAGTCGTTGATGTTTCACATATTCTGAAAGAGGGCCTTAATTTGCGTTCTGTTTTTACCTCAATCATTCACTTTTTTTATAAGAATGAAATTTGAAAAAAATAATCGTATCAATAGAGAGTTACATTTTTCTTTTTCATTTCTTTCAGGTCTTGCAAGTTGTTGAATTTGGTGTGTAACTTAAAAAGCAAGTATCTCATTCTAATTCCTTATTTAAATGTGGTCTTCTCTTTCTGTCGATTTATGATTCTACTGTCAAGGGCCACAAGCTTTCCATTCTGTAAATATTGCACGTGTCTCTCTTGCATACACTTACTAATATGTGCGCATGCGTGTTAGAATCAGTATAGGAAAAATATTGATGCTATCAAAATTACATATTAGAATGTTTGTTTGAAAATGGAATACAAATTGAATTGTAAAATTCAAGGGTATATCAAAAATTATCATTTACCACATTCGCCATAATATATTTTTAGGTTTATTACACTGCCTTCTGTTCGTGCGTGCTTATATTTGGTATTATATTGGTCAAGTTTGAGGTTGGTCGAGCCAGTTTTCTTGCTGCTGTTACAGTGCAAACATAGCCGCTCCGCTAACAGTGTGAATTTACTGTTATGCATGGCAGATTTATTAATGTTTTTGTTATTCTAAACGACGATTACAGTTATCTTATGTAATTGCAGATTGTGGCCAACGTGCTTTGTGGTCAACATTTGAACCAACCATCAGGTACGGCATCTTTTCGCTACCCGGTGAGTGGCCATGGCAAGTGGCCCTTATTCGAAACTTAAACTTCATCTGCGGTGGTACATTAATAAGTCAAAGATACGTCTTAACAGCTGCGCATTGCGTTAGGTAAGTATGTTTTTTCCTATGAGTATAATTGATAGAAAACTTACTTTTTGCAGTATTACAAAAATCAAGGAAAGGGAACATTCTTCTACGAGCATAAGAAGATACGGAATTTTATATACACCGATTTCCGGTAAAGAGTTGGAATGGACCAAAGAAAATTACGTAGCCTAGAATCTGTCACAATATTCCATAAAATTTTCATACCCCAAAGGAAAAATTTTATTGCATCTTCTCCCATGACCCTAGTACAGTCATGGGCAAACAGCGACCCCCGGGCTACATGCGACTCGATTGGATTTCTGAATGGCGCGCCTAAATTCATGAGGAAAATATCGTTTATTAAAATATTTGTTTCTTTTTGTTCTCACTTGTTCACTCACATATTCTCATGCATAATCAAATGCATAAAAAATGATTAAGTACAATGTTTCTTGAAGATTGTATGTTTTCGTTGAATGTAACGTTGTCAGTATTTTAAACTATTGGCGATTTTCACTAAGGAAGATCGTACGTGTAAACATATTTTGCTCCAGAAACAGGAAACGTAAATGACAATTATTCTTCTTTTACAAAATGTTTGTCTACTCATATGAATAAATTAGAAATAATTCACACGCAGTAATGTTTGTTAATCACGCTGTCATAAGTGATAATATTTTATCAAAGCTTCAGTTTGTTTAATTATATCAGGAATCTTTTTCCCAAAGAATAAAAAACAAACTTTTCCCCATTTATTAAGTAGACGCTTGTGTTGAGGAAAAGACTGCGGTATCTTTAATAAATCAGTGTTGCGTCCCGCCTTATGATGTACTGTATCTCATGTGGCTCATTCTTCGAAAAAGGTTTTCCATCTGCCCTAATACTTCAAGAAACATTTTAGAACAGATCACCCCGTCATTAACATGCTCCGAAAATCCCGATTTCCACAATCACGGAACATCAAGCGGTCCGACGGAAATGTAGTTAGCTGAGCAAAAATTCTAAAAAAAAATTAACTAAAACCATTGAGTCTAAGTTTGATGGAAGCCACACTAGAATACTCAGAGCTCTATTTAACATCTGATGGAGACAACATCCACCTAAATCACAACTAAATGGACCCACTCCTGATATTTGTACAATAATACGTGAACTCAGACTGCGCTTTGCAAGACACTGCTGGCATGTAAAAAAGAACTTGCGAATGATCAACTGACATGGACCCGTGACGCAATCACCTACATTGACCAAATATGTTATAACACAGAATGCTACCCTATTGACCTCCCGACCGTGATGGTTGGCGTTATAGACGCATGAATGTCCGAGCGAGTTCGTCTGAATAATAATAACATGAAATTTTCAAAAACAAAAATAGCCAATCTTAGCTAATTTTGGGGCACTGGAAATAAAAATGATATCTAAACTTGTTGATTGGCTCTAGATACGGTACTAGTGTTATATGAACATTTCATCAAAATTGTTGTCCTTGACAGATTAATTATTATTCTCCTAATAATCTTATTAAATATAATTATTCTCCTAATAAACTAATTATTATTCCCCTTTCCACCTCACGTTTTCACATTTAACTGACCTGTGAAAAATGTTTCGAAAATGTCTGAACAAAGCTGGTAACTTCTGCTATGTGTGTGACGAATTGACTTTTGCATTTCAAAAGTGAAATATAACATCTGTTGTGAGAAAAGCTTACAATTAATATTTCAGGTGCAAAATTGGAGACCAAGTGGGAATCGTATATATGCTATAATACCTGTGCAATGGCTAACCAGGAAGAAGAAATATATGCCTTTTTCAGTGTGCATGATTTGGAGAGAGTCAATTGATCATACCAGTGATTGCAGCTTCTGCATGGAGCCTCCAGTTGCTAAGAGACTGTCAAAAAAAAAAAAAAAAAAACGGACAGTGCAGTATCCCAACATTCCATCAGCTTTGTGCCCTGTCCTCCATCATGAAGACATATCTGTACCAGAAGTACAGGAATAGTGTGAATTGTCAAATAATGAAGACAATGAGACTTCAGAGCTTGAACCATCAAACTTCATATGACCAAGATCATTGTCCAACAACCATGTAGGAAACACACCTCATAACACAAAGTGACCTAAAGAAATTAGTCAAAGATTTGAAACTTCCTAAGAGGAAAGCAGAACTGTTAGGTTCCAGCTGTAGAATGTTAGCTGGTGATGTACAGATTTACCATTTTCTGTGATCGTAACAAGGATCTAGTCCCATTCTCCTTCATGGAAGGTAATTTGGTGCACTGCAATGATATCAGTGGTCTTATGAAATCACTTAACATCAGTTATAATCCAGAGGAATGGAGATTGGTCATTGATTCCTTTAAATCTGTCTTGTTACACAATGCTGATATTTTTTCACTCCCAGTTGGTTATGGAGTTCATATGAAATAAACTTATGACAATATGAAAAAACAACTCTGATATATCAACTGTGATCAACACGGCAGGTAACTTTTCAGAGATTTGAAACTTGTTGCTCTCTTGCGAAGACTGCAAAGTGGATACACCAAATACTGTTGTTTTCTTTGTGAATAGGACAACCAATACAGATGTTCTCATCACATCAGGAGAAACTGGCCACAAAGACAATCACTGAAACCTGAGAGGGAAAATGTTTAGCTTTCACCACTGGTTGACTCAAAGCAAATTTTGTTGCCGCCTCTTCATATCAAGCTTGACCTTATGAAAAATTTTGTGAAGGTGATGGACCAAACAAAGTCAGAATTCAAGTATGTGCAGAATAAATTTCCCGGGATAAGTGAAGCAAAGATAAAGGAAGACATATTTATTGGTCCCCAGATTCGTAAACATTTTTGGCTGAAAATTTTGACAGAACACTACGGGAAAAAGAAAACAAAATTCATGGAAATCTTCCAACTCAATGACAACCAACTTTCTGGACAATGAAAGATCAGACAATAACAGAAATCTTGTGGAAGACCGCCTAACGGCATAATAAATTAAAAGAAAAACTTGTAGTTCCAACGAATGATTTACTTTATGGAAATATTTCGACTAGCAGTTGCTAATCTTCGTCACTCCTTAATTTGCGTAAAACAGTGCAAAGAAACTAGAAACGCTTAAGAATTCAAATCAAGGGGGAAAAAGCGGATTTGATGATATTTACATAGTAAGAGCAAGTAAGAAATTTTGTTTTTTACTTTACAAACTGCCATTTTTCGACATATATTTTTCTTTGAAGCAGAAAGGTTCAGACAGGATGGAGTTGTGCTGCATCTATCCTAATGCAGGCATTTTTTTTTGTATTTGCTATTAGCATTTGTTCAGTTACTCTTCTTTGATTGAAATGCTTTTGGTTCGTCAATTTTATTTCCGGATGGCCGAAGTCAATTCTGTGACCTGTAATGTCATGTAGTGCAATCGCTGAAGTTTTTTCCAATTTTTGTTTTCATTTGAAATTACTTTATCACGAAGTCTTCAATGTTCATCCAGTCGTTCTTTCAATGATCTTGTAGTCATGCCCACATAACCTGTTGTGCAGGTAAATAATTTTGTAGATCAGATTGCCATTACTTGTAACTGCTCTTTCATTTTTTAATCTGATGAGCGTCTTTCCTATTGTAGTGTGAAAATATCACAATACATACAGATATCTTAGCTGTAGTTGAATATCCACTTCTTAGACTCACATCTTGGTTTTTCCCCGAAAAAGAGCTGTAAGTGACGAGCATAGTGAAAGACATTTCAGCAATGTTGTAAAAGTATCGGGCCAGATGGAGTCCATCAATGCTAGCTGATTATTGTTGAACTGTGACCAGAGATGATCCTTCTGTAGTTTACAAAAGACAAAATAAGAAGAGACATGTGGTTATTGAATAACTATGTACGTATATACTTTTGAATAGTGTGTTCCGGTTGTATTTCATTAAGTAAACAGATATATTGTCATCTTGATATGTTTGTCTGTTACTCCGATAGCCTACACAGAACAGAGAATCAAAGTAGATTTAACAAAGTAACATTGTTTTTCTTGGAGACATCCACTGTACTCCTGTAATATAACAGACAAAATATCTCTAAATCTAGAGCCAATCATCTAATTTGAATGATACTTTTGAATTTAGGATGCCAAAATACAATAGAATTGGCACATTTCATTTCTAAAATAGTCAACTTGTGAAAAATTGTAGTCCCATGTAATCTTTTAGAAGATAGGTTCTAAAAATGTATCAGTTTTGGGATATCTTCAATTATTGGATCCCATTAGATGCAAAATGTGAAAGGGTTACATTTGATCATTTCTATGTGAGAAAAAATGTTGGTTTACTTTTTTTTTCACCCGAATCTCCCTTGCACCATTAGACATCTACCGTTCGTGCGGGTACATTTGATTCTGGACAAAATCGAAAGATTAATCTGCTTTGTTGCCCTGGTCTCCATAGCAATAGGTTTTCACCGGATGGAGTTGCTAGTAGCCATGCTAAACCTATTTTGAATTCAGAGTTTTCCTTCCTCTAGATTGGTTGCCAGCCAACCATAACTGATCTAACCGGCTATGGTATAAATTTTTCTTTAGTTAGAACCATTGGATCTCTAATCTGGTTAAAATTTAATTATTTAAAATAAAGGGGGCATCAACTCAAAATCAATTGGAGTAGATAGGTTTGCCTGGCCCCAGTTCAAACTCCTCCATGGTCTTTTGAACAAAAGTAGTGGTTTATCTCTTGTTTCCTGTTTAACATTGTGTTTCTGGTTCCTTTTAAAGTCTACCTCAACTAAAAACTTGTATTTGAACTCTGGAATTATATTTACCTATTATTTTTCTCCTCAAAAGAGTAGATAGGTTCACCTGTCACCAGGTTCACACTCCTCCCCTGTCTTTTTACCAGGAGTAGAGGTTTATCCCTTGTTTCCTATTTAAGATTGGGTTTACGCTTCCTTATAAAGTCTTTTTAATCTGTTTCACCCCAGTATCCATTTGAGTTTTAGTGGCTTTATCACTTGGCTTGTGTTGAATTTATTAAAGGAAAAAAAAACGTGTACACACTAAAAATAATGTTTATAGCAATAAAAAATGATGTCATCTTATAATATCCGTGTAAAAATTACTTATATCTACAATATAAACTCCCATTTTATGGATGAGAACAAAGAAATTCTTCCCTCATGATAAAAACGGTAGGAACTTTGTAAATTGCATTTAGACCCCAACTTTTACGTTCGTTCCCTTATTTCATCATCATCATCATCATCATCATCCCCCCCTTGACTTTTGTTATCGTAGGCGGGGATCCGAACGCAGAAGCCATATTTAATCTCCTTCACAACGATCTATCAACGGCAGCCATCAGCAATTCTTGTAGAGTTTCCTAGACCGATCCTGCATAGTTATATTTTGCGTCTCTTGCTTCATATTCCTTTCAGTCTGCTTGTAGATAACTTAGCGGCTCCTATCTCCTCTCCCTTAATTATATATTTAAAAATGTTTTGTTACACTTCTTACTTCTTTTCTTTCAGCAAGAAATCCTTTTTTTACACAGTAAAAGTGGGATCCATAAACAGAAAGTCCGGTCAGTCGTACAATGTTAAGAAAATTATCTCACATCCTGGATTTGATTTCACATTTTACAAGCACGACGTCGCGTTGTTGGAATTATCATCTGAAGTTAAACTCAATAACTTCGTCCAAATCGCGTGTCTGCCGTCTCACCCGGCTGTTCCAAATTCCCAGTGCTTTACGACTGGCTGGGGAGTTGACGAAAATGGTAGGTTAACATTGTTTAAATTTTTATTTTTATTTTATAAAATTATTATTATTATTATTATTATTTACTTTACACCATGTATGGGGTGCGTCGCTTTCTAGGATCTGCACCTGAATATTCAGCCAATGGTGGTAGCAGAGGAGTTGATATTGGAATGTTCTCAACTTCGTGCAAGCCTATACAGATATATTTTTATGGAGAGCTACATTTGTCCATGCCTAGTAAATAGCCTCTTCTCCATGTCACCGATGTGGTCCAAGGAAACGAAAAGGGTTAATACTGCTTGTCACCGGCATCCTCGCCGAAATTGCTAGAATGAAATTTGGTACTCATGGTCCAGATTTTTCATCTGGCTTTTTTCCCCAAGGTTTTCTGTTTATTGATATATAGTCGCACTGTATCGGAGGTATGAAATTGTCTTCTTATAGATGGAACGTCCCCCAGGTGAAAAACTCCCATTACACATACACATACGCACACACACACAGACAGACACGCACGTTTTTATATATACAGCGTTGGTAAAAAGAAAGAGATTTCGAAAATTTAATAAAGCAAATTCCAAGAGACAGAAACACATTCAACACATTACTAGTTTGGTTTGGTTTACGGCATATCAACCTCAATGGGTTATTTAATGCCGACAACATTTTTATTGCTGGTAATATTTTTTCCTCAAAAATGTATTGCTGGTATTAATATTTCCTTCAAAAATGTATTGCTGGTATTAAAACCTATTTTTACACTTTCATAGTGTTTTGACCCCAGTTTGGGGGTTAACTATTTGCCCATAGCTGGGACCCTAGCAGGTACTATCACCCCGGTCAGGGTGGACCTAGGGTGGACACCAGCAATTAAGAGGTGGTCCCACGCTCCTCAAAACCTCTTGATCAGATGCCTTGCTGTTGGACGTAGTTTATCGTCTTACCCAGGACATGGATTTTTTTTTCAGATTTTGAATGAATTTAAATTGTTATAATTTATGTCAATTGATTCGGGTGGGGCATGAAATTGACTACCGTTTCAATGTTTGTCGCGCAACACATGATGCTCATCATGAGTGCATAAGTTGAACAACCTTAAAATAATAAACTTTAAACCTTCTTTTTTAATAACAGTGTGAATATATATATATATATATATATATATATATATATATATATATATATATAATAAATTATTCGAAAATTATAACATAAATATATTATAAAATCACTACAAAAATAGCCATTTTGTTTCAACACTTCTGGTGTCTTATCAAATGATAGTGTTGAACGTAGAATAAAGAGTTTTAAAAGGTCCAAATCGACCAAACACTCCTCGATAGAAGAAACGTTGTTGCATAAGCTGAAAATATCGATCAAAATACAAGTATATGAGAATTCAAAAAATTAGTTAGAATGAGTTCTAATGGCATATTTATGTTATAATTTTCAAATAAATTATATTTGCTCTACTCTTTTAACAATACTATTTTCTTGGTTATTGGAATTTATTCCGTAAACACCATTCCTATACTTGGATATATATATATATATATATATATAATAAAAACAGACCATTTTAAGGTTCCATGTAATAACTTATTTCACCACAGCCCTTTTAAAGGACTGCGGATCATCAGACTTAACTTTAAAGGAACGTATGTATATGTGGGATTTGCGTGGGTGTGTATACAGTATATGACAGAGCAAGATCTTTAATATTACCTTCAAATATTACCCCATATTAACTTAACTAAACTTTAAGTAAAAGAGATTACCTATCTAGAAACAGTCACGAGTTAAATTCATGAACAAAATTCAAACGGATAGAGATGTCAACTAATAATCAATAATAATTTTTTTTTAAAAAATAAAAAAAATTACTAGAAGTAAACTTATATTTTAAAATAAAATTTTATTCTTTTAATGTACTTTCTGTGAATATTTTTCTAATCGACTATTTCATAGAAAATCCAAGACATTTTAAAAAAATTTAAATCACTAACAAACATCAAATTAAATTCTTTGTAGACAGTTTAGACATTCAAATTTATATCAAACATAATCTTTATGAACCCCCAAAATAACACTTTTAAAGTAAAACACAATAACAGTGTCTTTTTCGAGCCTGTTTTTTTTTCCAAAGAAAATTAGTGACACCTTCTCTCATGACTTCCTTCTCTCTTTTCCTTTTTATCTGTTTTTTCTCCTCTAGCCCTTCGATATCAATATATAACTTCTGTTAAGTTAACCGTTTAAATGTGTCAATGTCTGGACCTCCTCAAATAAGTTTAAGTATGAAAGAATAGAAATATTAAATTACATCTAACTCGCTCATGTCTTCTCTCTCTCCCTCACTTCCTCACTTCGTTAATATATGCTTAATACGGCCCGTCAAGAATTTGTATATTTCTTTTCATTTTTTGTTTGAGCTATGAACAGGAAATTTAAAATATAAGCAATACGAAAATTTAAATATCTCGAAGATATTTTAACAGATGATAGAAAGTATGACACCGAAATCCGAAAGTACACTGGAGTAGCGAAAGATGAAAACTAAAAAGAAGTATGAAAACCTTTCGTTAGAATTAAAACGTTATCTTTATTTATTTGTTTTTTTTTTTACGGCTTATCAACCTTTTTAATGTTATTTAATGTCGAAACATATTTTTGGATTATAAGAATTTTTTGAGATAATTTTCTGATACAATGATATAGAGCTAGATTCATATCTTTCCTAAAGGTGTTTGCACGTAAGTGAATTCACTGAACCCGACTGAAATTCGAACTCTGCTCTCCGATTTCTCATTCCGAGCCATTATCCATTACTCCACCCACATATCCAAGGTTACAGTATCTGATATTCCCGAGCGGTCATCCATCTAGGTATTGACCCGGTTCAGTTATCATACGTGAACCGGTGTTTCAACGTAATATGGCCGCAAGCATAATTGTTGTGAGTGTGATGAACTGCTATATGATAGTGAATTCTGAACAATTTCCTCAAAGATGAAGAAGTTTGAGGCAATAAAAATGTGGTTCCAAGTAACGAGTATAAGGTAGAAAAGGGTCTTCGAGAATTTTATACTAACATGACTGAAGACAGGAGAGAAACAACCAGCAACCGGCCTAATGAGCTTGTGTAAATAGATGGCAGAATAGAAATCGGGAAACTAGTAAAAGATAGACATCAATAAAAGGTATAAAGGCTAAGAAGTTTTTGACAGCCTTGATCACCCACGTCTTGAAAGGCCACGGTACATAGAAGAAGATCAATAAAAAAAAAAAAAAAAAAAAACTCTTTCCACCATCGGAGTGAGTGCAGAATCGCAAATATCTTAAATCTTGTGCTTTCTGTATTTATTTCAGAAGTGTATAATAATTATCTGAAAGAAGCAAAAGTCCGTATTCTCACTAGTGAGATTTGCAAAAGTTACTATGCCAACGCCGAAAATGTAGCACTTTGCGCCAACCACCCGGAACCATACCAGCCAGCATGTTTCGTAAGTAAAATGAAACTTAATAATAGCGATTAAAACGAACATATAAAAAAAATAAATTAAAAAATCCCGGAAAGATTAATAAAAAAAAGAAGTATCAAAATGTTTACATTAACGTAAAGTGACAAACTCGAAAAGCAGAAACAAACAAACAAATAGCTTAACCGGTTTATCAATCCTCTCTCATCAGAGCTCAATCGAGGACAAGAAATTTGACGACTAAAACGAACAACACCAAAAACTGAATGTTAAATAATAAACATGAAAATAGCATCGGCTAATTATACTTAAGTCTAACAGACAATCCTTCTAATTACAGAGTGGTAGTTAGTAGAAATTGATTCTACTACTTTAACGTGAAAATCAGAGTGAACTTTAAACGTGCTACTAAATTGACAACTAGGTTTCACCATTTTACTCTTGAACTAGATAGATGCAACCTTATGTTCTAATAGTTTCTTTTCTCAGCTGTAGAATTTCCGTTCGATTTCTTGCTTCCTTGCCATCTACAATCTTCAAAAAGTTAAATGTAACGCAAATCGCCATCTTTAGTCGTCCTGAATCATGTTCTTTTATTGTTGTTTCTCTAAGTAATCCCTTGCGGCATTGTTGCTTTGCTTGGGGGTGAAATGATTTTAAAATTTCCTAAGAGTCTAATTACAAAGGCATCGCTGGTAGGACATGGTTAGTTGCGTTAAAACATCTGGCTAAACAATAGCTGAGCATTTGTTAAACATTCAACAATATGCTCGGTCCTAAACCAAAACCTCTTCTTGAAGGCTTAATATGATCTTCCCTTAATGCATTAGTCAATTTATATAATCCTACCATCCGTCTCTCTGTAATCAAGCGTAAGTATAATTAGCCTTTAATGTGTATATATTTGTTATATAACATCCGAGCTTTGATGTTATTCATTTTAGTCACTATGCAAATTTTTTGCCTTCGAATGAGACAGAATAGACAAACCTTTTAATCGTTATTATTATTAATGTTTTTTACACCTTTTAGAATATTTGAAATAAAACTTGTTGGAAACTCTTCACAGGTACATGTGGATTTCCATCTTACACTGTTAGTCCACTAATGTTCCAAAAGTAATGTGGTGACAGTATACAAAGATATTGGAAGATAGTGTCGACGGACATTGACGCCGTGGAAATAAGCAGGCCGATATCACTATAATATGAATATTTGATAGGCTGCTCATGTTAAAACAATGTGAATTTTCAAACAGGACATGATAGTGAATGTCATCCTAATGGTGCATTCCATTTGTGAAGTTGAGAGGATATCTGCTGTCCCTTGATATTCACATGCGTACTGGAAAAAATTGTCGAAAGCTGTTATGATAGACAAAGCAGTGGCCGATCACAGGTCCTTAATAAATTATCAAGACCAGAGGTATCTGGTTAGAATTATTTGTTGTAACAGATGTGACAGCTGCATAAGTCACATCTACATTCAACAGGTGCTAGACACATATTCAGCAAGTTTGTTAAATGTTTTTGATTCTAAGACACCGGACTCATTGCCTCACCTAGACTCGAGACATCGCTATTTGAACTCTGGAAGACAGGTATGAGCTCGGATGAGACACGGTTCGAGCTGATGGTAGGATTCAAGTGTGGTGAAAAACAAAGAGGGTATGGAACTTATTTGTCAAGAATAGAACCGTACAGTCTGGTAATGGTTCTGAAATGTTAGTGGGTGTGTTCACGTGGGTTGAGCAAGCTGATCAGCCTAAACACGCCATTCCCTGATTATTTGCACCTATTCATAGGCGTTATGTAGCCTTACATTGACGGGTTATTTCACTAGGATAATACACTGTCTTATCGCGTCCAAGTTGCCCAGAATTGGATTGAGGAGAATTCTGAAGATCTATATTCTCCCCCACTCCCACACAAACACCCAAAGCAAGGCGTAAACTCCCTAAATTACAAAGGGTTATTGCGAGTGGAAGAAATCAAGAGGAGAAAGGACAATAAAAGAAAGAATTCAGGAAGACAGAAGATGGTCATTGACGTTGCATTTAAATTTTTGAAAAATCGAGGTTGACGGGGAAGCAAGAAGCCATGAGAAAGTTCAACAGGCAAGAAGTGCGTGTGGGCCATGACGTTCACTCAACATGAGACCAATAAAGGGCCCTTTTTGCACATTAGATCCTTCACTTATAGATATCAGGGAATTGTGGACAATTATCGTCATATCATGACTCAACCACTCTCCAGAGGTCTTCCGACAACTTTTGAAGCAAATGCTACATTACAGTGGCTGCAATTTATCAGACTAGTGGGCGTCATAAATTATACGAGGCACTAAATCATGACTTTTGAAACATCAGTGTATTAGAAAGAATTAAAGGGATATTGAAAGTTCTAAATTTAATTTCAAGAGAGCTTGATATATTTTTAATAAAAAAACAGAAACTTGTATCATATTTTTCTGAGATGATTAATCACATAAAATCACATATTCGTTCATATTGCTAATCATAGCGATAAATGTTGAACTATGACCGAAAAGTTTTACGATACATATTGCGAATTCAGATTTTAGCAAATTGAAAAAAAAAACGAATAATATTTGTAGTGGTATATTAGTAATGTATGATAAGAATACGAAAAATAAATTATGAGCAATATTTACTTTCATCGTCATTTACATTACACTGCATTATTAAACATTATTATTGTTGTCTAATATTTAATTTTGTCTTCATTATCATTAAATGAAGCATTGTCAAAAATTATTACTAGTTTTTAATTAGTATTTAATTAAATCCCTTTTTATTAGATGAAAATTGTCAACTATTATTATTATCTTTTGTAGTGATATGCAAATTAGTATAATTTGCATATGAGCAGGTAGCTCATAAATGGACACCAACGAGAACGGAAGTGGAATAAGAACTTAAGGGATACACGACATAACAATGGCGTCGCCGATAGGATACTCTTTGGTCCTTGAAGACCCAGAGTACGTAGACACGTGGATTCGTTGCTTTGCTGCTAATGCTAGATGTAAAAAAGTTGAAAAGACAACAAAAACAGAGGAGGGGAAAGTGAAATCACCGACTTGTTCATGGCTACCGCTGGTTGTGAAGCGATTATGAAGGTTGCTACAATGGTTTACCCTCGAGAACTAGAAGAAATGACTTTCGAAGAAATAAGTCAGGTTATTAAGGGAAACATGAGGCCAAAGAAAAGACTGGTGATTGCAGAAAGGACCAAGTTTATGGCATATTTTTATTAGATGATGTATTGCCAACTATAATTATTAATTTTTCACTTGTATTTACTTTCATAAATTTTGTTGCTTTTTATCGAAAATTTGGATAATGTTCGCAATATAAATATTCTATAGAATGTTCGTATTTTTTATGTATTATGTTTTATCAGAAATCATATTTTTACAAATGGTTTGTCTATTCGCAGGGTGACAGCGGAGGACCTTTGCAATGTCTGAATGAATATGGCCATTGGAATGTTGTTGGGGTAACGAGTTACGGACAGCCGCAATGCACTCGAAAAATTGACGCCCCCGAGGCCTATGCTGATGTGTACGTCCATCTCGATTGGATCATGAAGAATGCCCCAAATTTGTATCAATGAAGATCAATAAGCGTGTAAGAAATATAATTGGGGAAATAGGGTATATTCGTCATATTCGTACAATCCTAATGAGCAATAATTGATGGAAAAAAGCAAGCATGTACACACACACACACGAATATATATATATATATATAAAGGAAGAGATGAAACTGTTGTATATATAAATAATGTGGACATAGAAATCAACATATGTGCTCATGATATATAAATATCATGATATATATATATATATATATATATATTAAACCATTGGATATTTTCTGCTGGTATCGAACTATATAAAAGTACTTGTTCCGTTTCCGTTTAGGCGCTTAATTCGAAACCAGCAAAAATACCCAATGGCTTAATAGACATTATTTGGTTTGTTTCATTCAGTAGAAAATGTTTAAATGACACTTTTATCTCAGTATATTTTACTCATACATACATACATATATGTGTGTGTGTGTGTGTGTTTGTGCGTGTGTGCGTGTTTATCCCTGCATTGCAATTTCTAAGAAATTAATGGATATTATTTTTAATCTGAGAGAATTTCTTATTACTCTAAACATTATTTTAGTGGGTACACGTGTACTGTTTTTTTTTTTTTTTTTTTTTTTTTTATTTTTTTTCAAAAAATTGAATTACGTTTACCGGTGTGCACATTCGAGAAAATTAACAAATGCTATGTGGACTACAGAAGAGTTCGAATCTACGTCCCCTTCCAGAGATCACATATTACTTTATTAAGACACTCAAATGCGCTGTCTAGTATACGTAAGTCACGCTGTCGAAAAAAAATATTAATATAACTATAGTCAAATTATAACCATGTTCCCTTGGAAAATTAGCATTTCACATATTAAAAATTCCGGCGATCTTGTCAACATATTAAAAGACGTAAATATTAATGATAAATTCATGGCTAGTTATGACATTAGATCATTATAGATGAACATATGTGTTAAAATGTCTTTTTTTTTAGAATTTCTAGAAGCAAAACCTCTCCAAAATATTTTACCTAAATAATTAACACATCTCAGATATATCGATGATTCTTTAATATATCCGTGCAAAAAAGTTTTGCCTTGCCTGATATTGTAAATAAGCAACATTGAATATTTTACTAAATTTATTTTGAAACAGAAACAAATCAAACATTATCGTTTCTTGATATTATGTTAAACCGCAATGATCTTTAGATCTAAAATTCAGCTTCTGTCGGAAATCCACCAACAAAAATGATCTCATAAACTTATGCTACCACAAAAAATAAAATCCGGAATATTTATAGATTTCTTCTTATGACCATTTAGAAATCGCTGCCTTTTAATATCTATATGAAGTAAAGAATATACTGAAAACACTTTAAAACTTTTCCAATATCTTAATTATTTTATAGATAACAAAATCGCAAAGCTTGCAAAATCTATAAAAACAAAAACGAAAATATCGCAAATAACCTTGATAAACCTAGGCACTTAATACTCCCTTTTTCTTTATGTACAGTGTCTTGTCCTTTGTAGCTCTTAATAATTTTTTTGTTTTTGTTGCTTCTTCTAAACTCTGTTCCGCCATCTATTTACTCAAGCTCCTTAAGTATATTATGCGTTGTTTTCCTCTGTCCCTCTTGCCTTCAATCTGTCATGTGAGTATCAAATTTTCCAAGCCTTCTTTCCTCTTTAAGTGCCTTAGTAATTTTAACCGTCTCTTCCTGATGTTAAGTATAAGTTTCCTTTTTGTTTCCATTTTCCTCTAAAACTTCGTCTTTGCTCACATGTTCGGCCCATGGTATCCTCAGCATCCTTCTATAGAACTACATTTCTCTTCTTCATCGTCATGAGGGGATTGTCAGTATTCACTGCCATACAGGAGGACTGATATTACATAAATGTTCAGTACTCGTTTCTTTGTTTCTAACAATATTTTTCTGTTTCTTAATAATTTGCCCAACTTTTAGAAGAAGGAATCTTTGGCTATCCCAATGCACCTTCGGATTTCGGTGTCACACTTTCCATCCTCTGTTAATGCGCTTCTCAGATATCTAAATTATATCACCTCTTTGATTTCGATATATCCGGTTTGTTATTTGCATGTTATGTTATTCCTTTTGCTCACAACTATGCATTCAGTCTTCTCGTAATTGATGTTTACTCCTTTCTCCTCCCTTCCCTTCACCTACCGTCTGTAATAGTTCTTGTAATTTCTTTCCTGTGTTGGCTATCAACAATGTATCATCTGCAAATATTATATTGTTAAGATTGTGGCCACCAATAATGAATCCTGGTAGCACTACTAATTCTCTTTGAATCGCCTCATTGCATAGGTTGGTTATGTCCCATGTGCAACCCATTCAGTAGGAGTTCTTGTAATTTCCTTTCTACGTCTACTATCAACACTATGTCATCTGCATATCTTATCTTGTTAAGATAGTGGCCGCCAATAATGAATCCTGGTAGGACTTCTAATTCTCTCAGAATCGCCTCGCTGCATAGGTTGATTAAGTTCCGTGTGCAACCCATTCAGTAAGAGTTTTCATAGTTTCTTTTCTGTGTCTGCTATCAACACTGCGTCATCTTTATAATGTTGTGTTGTTAAGATTGTGGCCACTAATAATGAATCCTGGTGGGACTTCTAATTCTCTCAGAATGGTCTCGCTGGATTAGATTGAAGAGGTATGGCGGGAAGACACATCATTATCTTACACCCCTTTTTATTTACTGGAATTATTTCCTATCCGTATATAGGCAGTTTGCTGCCAGTATAGCTTCTGGATTATTCTAATATCCTTCCCGAATATGTCAAGATTACCTAGAAGTTCTAGCAGATCATTGTGGCGTACTTTATCAAACGCTTTTGCATAATCTATAAAACATAGGTATATATGCTTTTGCATTTGCAGTGCTCTTTCTGATATCAATCTGAAGCATAAATATAGCATTCCTTGTTCCAGTGTCTTTAAGGAACCCACATTTTTCGACTTCTATTTTCCGTCTGATTGCACGCTCTATTTATCAATATTCGGATGATAAGTTTTGTTATATGGTACAGTAGGCTGATTGTTAAATGGAGTTCACATTCGTTTACACCTGGCTTCTTAGGCAGTGCTATGAAAATCAATCTACTTAGGTCCTCCGGTATATCACCACTATTGTATATTTCATTTATGATGTCTCAAATCTTGTCAATACCGAAATCATCTAAGGCTGCTAGCATCTCTATCACAATTCCGTCTGGCCCTGCAGCTTTGTTTCTGTTCAATGTAGCTATTTCTGATTCCACTCCATAATTCAATATTTATGGTCCTTTTTTTATTTCTGTGTATTGGAGATTTTCGGTTGTTCTCTTTTGTCGTGGAAGATTTCTCCGATGTATCCGCTCCAGCTCTGAAGTATTTCTTTTTTCTCTTATATCAGTGACCTGTCTATTGATTGCATGCATTCTGCTGATGAGCATGTCTGATGTCCTGTCATTTTTTTTTTAAATTATGCATATCTACTTAATCTGTGATACTCATTCTTTCTTTTCTACGCCTTGTAGGGGGGACATGGCACATACAAAAGAAGTGTGCCTAGAAATTCAAAATTGGGGACGGCTAAATTAAGTTTTAACATTTAACATTCGACATATCTTTAAATAAATCTTCTGCTTTTACTGTATATGGAATCCCCTCAAAATATAGGTTTTTATATATTAGTTCTATATATTTGAAATTGTAGTAATCTGTCTCTCAATTTCAGTCAAGATTTTTTAGGTGTTGCCATAGAAGGATGTGACTACACAAACAAGAAATTCAAATTCAACTTGCATTGGTAGGACTAACATTTTGCTTGGCGAAAATAGTCACCTACAGAGTGATAAAGGTTTTAAATATTCCTGATATTTTTATATGATTCTTTCATAAAATGAATATATTTAGATCTATTGACCTAAAAGAAACACTTCTTATTTTGATTACAAATAACTAATTATTTTTCATTTATTTTATTTTGTTAATATATTTTAAATTTTTAATCATATTTTAATTTTCTCTTTGTTTTTATTTTATTTTCTAGAATGAGATCTATAGAATTTTTTCCGCATATAAGACTTATATAAAAACTTTGGAAAATGCTTCGAAATAATTTGAAAATTATTGCCAGTAATTTCTTTTAGACACAGTTCAGATCAGTAGCATTGTCAGAGATTGAGGCCAAGATGACATTGTTAGTTTTGTTCTCAATTTCAGCAAAAAGTACAGGTGGCGTGGGGATAAAACCCCTGGGTACCTTTAGCGCCGTGAATGAGATATAGATATATACTGATATTGGGGTGGGGGCATTATATATAGATATATGGTGGCTGGCCGCTGGTATCTACTATGCCTCTCTACTAGGATGGCTAGCCAATCCTTGTTGCAGACGCCTGCTCTGGCACATTTGTGTTTGTTCAACATCCACAGAACCGATCAGTGGTTTATACTATGCTAAGCGGACCTTAGTTACAGTTTCTGGGAGAGAGCGCATTGTGTGGCGTGATCAACAGCCTGAACAAGCCATTACGCTCAAGCATTCGGTTACGATATGGGCACAAGACCGAGTAGTTAGAACGTTTGCTTTCCAATTATGAGACCCGGGTTCGATTAATCAGGAAGGTGACGACTTTGTGTTGTCGGCCTGGGGAGGCGATCCCAGTGTGATCTACCTTTGCAAAGTCTTGGGTAGCTTCAGTATCTGTCTATATTAGAAGAACATGAAGACAAATGGATTTTGCGCCTCAAAATACTTCGTCCAGATGTGCTTAAGCACAAATTTAACACCATAGATAAAATTAATATATAACCCCATAAATCAAGCCCTACCCACATTTCTCACCCCCACAAGACAGACATGATTACAGAGGTGTTGAGGTCTCATACACACACTCATGCTAATATATACACAAACACATATCATGCATACTTCCAAAGAAATAAAAGTGAACATACACTCAACACACACATAACGTTCCCAGTAACCAATAAAACTGTCAAAAATGAC